CTCCTTCTCCTTCTCCTCCTCCTCCTCCTTCTCCTCCTCTTCCTCCTCCTCCTCCTCCTTCTCTTCCTCCTTCTTATTCTTATTCTTTTTTTTTTTTTTTTGGTTTTGAGAAAAGGTTTCTCTGTGTAGCCCTGGCTGTCCTGGCACTCTCCCTGTAGACCAGGCTGGCCTCAAACTCACAGCGATTCACCTGCCTCTGCCTCCTGAGTGCTGGGATTAATGGTGTGCACCACCATCATCTGGCTGTTTTGATACGTTTATAAAAAGAAGTTTTAGATCTGGTAAGATATTTGAGGGGGTAAGAACACCTGCCACCATGCCTGATGACCTGAATTTAATACCTGGGATACACATACACTTTCTAGATAAATGAATAATGTGATTTAAAATAAACTGTAAATAACATTTAAAATTCAGATCAATAAAAGTAAATAAATTAAAATTTGGATCACTTGTATGTCTATCATGGTCTGTTAGCTCTCCATCACTGTGACAGAATACGTCCAATAATCAGTTTCTGTAGTGTGATGGTTACTCTTCATCGTCAACTTGCTGGGTTTAGAATCACCTATTAGGAGACAAACTTCTGGGCATGTCTTTGAGCGCATTTCCAGAGAGGAAAACAGAAGGGAGACACCCCACTCGCCCTGGGTATTAGCAGTGCATCCATCCAGAAGACTAGGGGCCCAGACAGAGTAGGAGGAAAAGGAGAAAGCCAGCATGCCATGCCCTCTCCTCTGCTCAGAGGTGTTCTAGTTGCATGTCACTGTTGCCCCAGAGCTGCCTTCATGCCAACCGTACCATGGCGACCTGTGAACCAAAATGAGCCACAGCTCCTAGTCTTTCCCAAACGGTTCCACTAACAGGGACGGACCAAACATTCTGGGCCTGTGGGGGCCATTGTCATTCAAACCACCACATATCACAGTGAGGAAAATAACCAATCCACCTGGGTTACAGGTATACATACATATATACGTGTGTGTGTGTGTGTGTGTGTGTGTGTGTGTGTGTGTGTGTGTGTATGCTGTCCTGTCCTAGCTTCAGTCTGTGGCCCATCCTGTTTGGGCCTGTGGTGTGAGCATGAGATTGGAGGAGGCCTAGTAACCTCATTGTAGCAGGGAAGCAAAGAGAATTCGGAGAGTTGAAGTCCCGATAGTCCCTCAAGGACATGACCCCAGTTACCTTACTTTCTAACATTGGCCCCACCCCGTAAAGGTTCCACCACTTCCAACTAGCTCCATGGGTGGGGGATGAAGCTTTCAATATATGGGCCTTTGAATAGGGGGCAGAGGGAGGTACATGTGTGTCTGTGTGTCTGCGTGTATGTGTATGTAAAGAATGGGAAAAGCTCACTGATTTGTAAGTACTTTTAGGTAATACACAGCCATTTTTAGGATGATGTCAGCATATTTCATGAAAACACTCGAACTTCTATTTAGAGATCTGTAATGACTATTTTAGTTTACTGGCTCTCTGTTATGTAGCATTTCTCTGCACTTAATTAGCAGCCTATTTCCCTGTGAAATTAATTTAGTTGCCGGGCAGTGGTGGCACACCTCTTTAATCCCAGCACTCGGGAGGCAGAGGCAGGCAGGTCTCTGTGAGTTCGAGGTCAGCCTGGTCTACAGAGCGAGTCAGAATCATGGTGGCACCGTGAACTCAGGGTCATACTCAGAAAGTACAGGAAGCACTGTACTTTCTCCAAGACTTTCAGCGTGGACAACAGATGATGTTGCCATTAAGCAGCTGAAGCCATGAAAGAATTAAGTACTGGATTTCAGTCTCTGGTCTAACTCTCAGCTGATAATACCGCCTGTACAAACAATGGTTAAGCTTGGGCAAGCACCTGTGACTGAGTTCAGTCGTCAGCGTTAAAGGTTCTGCTTAAACGACTTGAAGACTTTCATCTGAGCATTGGTTGATTTTCCTCCAAGAAAGACTAATAACTAGTTATTGAAATGCTGGACAGAAACAATTTCTCATTCCAAATTGTATGAAGCAGTAATGTCTAACGCAAACCAGAGTCAAATCTTAGACACTTGTTAATTGAATGTTGTGTGCATTTTATACCTTCATTTGAAAAACGAGACTAATCCGCCCCAACTGCAGCTTGTGAGGCAGGGGTGGCACACACAGCTCCAGGAGTGGCGCCGTGCTTAGACAGGACCGACGTAAGAGCTCTGGGGAACGTGGCCACAGAAAACACTTGGAAGCTTTGAGTCACTTTCTTTTTTGGACTTCTGTGAATGTTGTGTTTGGTTTGGTCACATGTTCCATTTGACTCAAGTTTATTCATAGTGAGGTTGGTGAAATATATAAATAGCCCAGTTGAAAGAAAATCCCACATTTTAACTCTACATTTTTTCTTTTAAAAAGTGGAGAATTTTCAAATTCATTTATGTTTTTAAAAGTGGACCAATGAAGTTTTGAAAACGATAATAAAGAACAAGGCCTCGCGGTTCACGTCTGTAATCCTGTCGCTCAGGGCAGCCTCACACAGTACCCCCTCGTTCAGATAGTAACAAGGACGCTGGCAGGGTACAGGAGAGAGTAAGAGGAGAGCGAAGGCTGTTTTCTGAGTTTGACCACAGAGACGAACTGCCATGCAAGATAGTCAAAGGTGTTGATAATAGTGCATTGCTTATTGTTTATCAGGATATTATATTGCCACTGTTTTATTAGACATGCGTTGGAAGATTGGGGAGGTAGATCAGAGAGTTAAGCTTTTACCCTGTGAGCATGAGAACTGGTGTTCGGATCCCCTGGTGAGTGTGGTGTCTTGCCCGAAGTCCCAGAGTGTGGGAAGTGGAGGCAGAAGCAAGCTGACTGGTCAGATGAGCCGAGACCAAGAGCTGTGGCCCAGCAATAGATTCTGCCTCAGCATATAGGATGGACAGCAATTAAGGAAGACACTTGAAGTCACTGTTAGGCCTCCCCATGCGTACACACACGTCCATGCCAAAATTTCCGTAATGGAAGTCATTGATTTAGCATAGTATATGCAAATTTGTGTAATGTAAGCTACCATTTATAAGCTGTGTGAAAGACACGATATAGTTTTTTAATATTTATTTTATGTGTATATGTGTGTTTGCCTAAGTGTGTATCTGTGCACCATGTGAGGGCAGGAGCCCACACAGGTCAGAAGAGGCATCATGTCCCTGGGAAAGAGTTACAGGTGGTTATGAACCACCATGCGCGTGCTAAGAATTGAATCCAAGTTCTCTGCAAGAACAATGAATATGGAGATATATATATATATGTATATATATATATATATGAATTTGAAAGAAACTTTATGTCTTTGGCCAAGGGCAGCTTTTGTAAAAGTAAAAACCAAGGAATCAGCATTAGCTGGATGGTCTTTAAGTACTTACATATGTGTGAATGTATGTGTATGTATGTATGTATGTATGTATGCTCAGAAAGTGCACTCTTGCTCCAAAGACAGGACACAAATTTTATGGGGGAAGAAGTTACAAAGCGTTATATAATTCTCATTTTCCTGGGCTTCCAGGGAGCTTGCTCTCACAGCGTTCTGTTCTCATGTTGTATTAGGTTTCTGCGCTGGTTCTGCTGTTTTCTTTCTGAGGCATGAGGACAGCTTGTAAGCTTCACAGAGCTATGTCACGCTCTCAGGCCTAGCTGTGCCTCCTAATGTCTGATAGCAGAACTACATCCTCAGGATACAGAATTCGACAGAATCTACACGATACATGTTTGTATGTGTTAGGTCATCAAGCATAGGTCAGCTAAGTGAGTTAGTGAGAAGCCCTCTTGATTGCAGAGGAGTCCTGGTCCGTGAAATCCCCTGAGTGGATTCAAGCTTGTCCCTGGGTTGAGTCCATAGTCTTTTTTTATCAGGATGACAGGCTTGCCTCATGGCTTCTATGTCCCTTTATTAGGAGGCCATGGCTGGGGCTGGGGTCCTTTTTCTCTGAGTTGCTCTGCTATCTTCATACACTGCAGCTGTCCTCCCAGTCCCTTTGTTCCGATGCCCTCTCAGCATGTTTGACGGGCTCCATTCTCTGTTATCCAGACATTCACTGCACATGCTAGCTGCTGCTAGTCCACGCCCAGCCCAGAAGATGGACTCAGTTTAAAGCCTCTCTCCCATAATTGGAGAGATCATGAAGTTACAGTCCAAAGAGAGAAGATATTTGTTACAGTCTTTATAAATAATCTTCCACGATAAGCACACTGTTTCAGTGTATCAGTAAAAATCAAACTGGAAGTGATGTGTTGGAAGATGGATGCACAGCTTTACTGGCTCGGCAAGCCTTCCACTGCGGGGCTGTATCTTTATTCACCTAGTTTTTGGGGTTTGCAGTGTTGGAGATTGGACTCAGGGCCATGCTCATTAGGCAAGTGCTTTCATTACTAAGCAACATCACTGGCTCTTGCTATTTGATGTGTTCTTATTTGTTCAAGACCAGGTCTTGCTATGTAGCCCAGGCTGGCCTTGAAATTGCAATCCAATTAGCTCAGCCTCTGGAGAGCTGGAACCATATACCACCACACCAGACTCTACACTAACAACTGTAACGCATATTGGTGTTTTTGTTTTGTTTTTTTTAATGTGGGGGGCATGTCTATATGCCATGCATGCACATGGATATACCTGTGTGTCTCTGTGTCTGGTACCTGTGGAAGCCAGATTCCAAAGTAACAAATTTAAAAGGATATTGGTGTTTTGTTTTGGAAAAAAATTTATGTGTATGGGTGTTTTACCTGTGTTTCTATGTGTCTTAGGGTTTCTATTGCTGTAAGGAGACACCATGACGACAATAACTTTTTGTTGTTGAATAAAAAGTACATCAGGAATAAATTTTTATAAATGAAAATACTGTGGGTTATTCTTTTGCTCGGAGAGTTGTATCTCTAATCATTTGGAATCTGTCTTATCTCCAGGAGCTCTGCCAGTGCCGGCCGGGAGAAGGCAGCTGCCCGTGCTGTAAGGAGTGCATGCTGTGCCTCGGGGCGCTGTGGGACGAGTGCTGCGACTGTGTGGGTGAGCCACTGTGCGCTGCCTCCGACTTCAGTGTATGTGCGTCCCAGTCAGGGTTGTCACCGCCGTGCTCTGACACCATGGCCAGAACAGCTTACCACTGCAGGAGTCGGGACAGGGTCCTGGAGGCAGGAGCTGGTGCAGAGGCCGTGGAGGGGCTGCTTGCTGACTTGCCCCCCCATGGCTTGCTCAGCCTACTTCTTACAGAACCCAGGACCACCAGCCCAGGGTCATAATGTCGGCAGTGATCTGGGCCCTCCTCCCCATCCGTCACCAGTCTTGCCTACAGCCTCATCTTTTGTTTTTGGTGGTTTTTTTTTTGTTTGGTTTGGTTTGGTTTAGTTTTTGAGACTGTACATCCTCATCTTATTGAGGCATTTTTCTCTATTGAGGCTCCCTTCTCTCTGATGAACCTAGCTTGTATCAAATTCACATAAAACTAGCCAGCACAAAGTGTACCATATATGTAAATAAACACTGCATAAGGTAAGTATATAGAGAATTATTGTATATTATGTGTATATAATTATGTAAAAATAGTTTAAATGAAAGATTAGAAAAGAAGTGTAGGAGTGAGGAATCAATGGAGAATATTTTTAGTTTTTAATCTTTTTCATTTATTTTTATTATATGGGTGTTTTGCCTGTATGTTTGGCTGTGAACATGTTTTTTGTTTTTTTGAGACAGGGTTTCTCTGTGTAGCAGTGGCTGTCCTGACACTCTGTAGGTGACACTGGCCTTGAATTCACAGAGATCCGCCTGCTTCTGCCTCCCAAATGATGGGTTTGGAGGCATGTACCAGCACCGCCCAGCTAACCAAGGCAGCTCTTGTAATGAAAAACATTTAATAGGGTGTTTTACAGTTTAGAAGTTCATTCCATTATCATCATGGTGGGACATGATCCTATTAGCTTATAGGGGCCAATTACACTAAATTTTGTGGTGGTTTGGAAGAAAATGGCCCCCAAAAAGACTGGCACTGTTAGGAGGTGTGGCCTTGTTGGAGAAAGTGTGTCACTGTGGGGGCAGGCTTTGAGGTCTTTTTCTCAGGCTTCACTCTGACAATCAGTTGACTCCCTGCTGTCTTCTGGTGAAGATGTGACACTCTCAACTCTAGTACCATGTCTACTGGCATGCCACTATGTTCCCCATCATGATGATAACAGTCTGAACCTCTCAAACTGTAAGCGAGCCACCCAAGTTATAAATGTTTTCTTTATACTAGTTGCCATGGAGACCAGATGAGGGTGTTGGGTCACCTGGGACTGCAGTTACCGATGGTCCTGAGCCACTATGTAGGTGATGGGGTTGTGCCTGCGTCCCCTGCAAGAACAGTTCTTAACCACTGAGTCATCTCTCAGCCCCTCTCAGTAGTGGAAGATTTTATTGGTGTTGTTGTTTTGAAATCTCTCTACCATAGTGGGGGTACAACCTCTGAGAGGGCTCAAGTTAGAGCACAGCTGTTTTCTTCTGTCTCAGCTGTGTGTGCCTTTGTGCACACTTTGTCGAACAAGCTTTCTTCTCCAACTCCCTTCAAGAAGAATTTTTCAGAATTCAGGACTGGTAGCAAAGGCCTGAGGCCTGGAGGCTGAGGCAGGAGTATCACAAATTTAAGGCATGGGTGGGCTTACAGAATGAGTTCAGTGTCTTTCTATCTCTACAAAATAAATAAGCAAATGATCAAAATAAGAAGAGAAAAGGAAAAAGAAGGGACTCTCTGTGACAGAGCACATGTGTAACATGAGACCCTGTTGAGATTACACTACCCACTGCCAAAGGAGAGAGAGAGAGAAAGAGAGAGAGAGAGAGAGAGGATACCTACAGCTTGGAAGGCTGAGGTTGGAATCTGTGGCTTCACAAGTTTGAAACCAGTGTAGGGAGAGAGGGAGGGGAGGACAAAGAAGGAAGAGAGGGTAAAAAAGGCCAGGTGGTGGTGACACACACCTTTAATCCCAGCACTCAGGAGGCAGGAGGTAGATCTCTGAAAGTTCAAGGCCAGCCTGGTCTATAGTAAGTTCTAGGACATTCTCCAAAGCTACAGACTACAGAGAAACCCTGTCTTGTAAAACAAAAACAAACAAGCAAAAAAAAAAAAAAACCAGAAAAAAAGGAAGTGGGGGGATAGAGGAGAGCCGGCAGGTGCATGTCCAAGGATTAAGTCCGCACTGCCAACTCATAAGTCCAACTCATCAGTATTACTGGATCGGTGACCCCGGTTTTGTGAACATGTAAGACAGAACAAAGTTTCCTTGTGATGTTTTCATGCATGTATGTAATACATTTTTATCATACTTAGCACCTCTGACGTAGTCTCTTGTTCTCCGCTCCTACTGCTCCTCTCCTGACTTAGCCCTTTTGTGTCTTTGTCCTTTTTAAACAAGGTCTCACTGTGTAGACCAGCATGATCTGGGGCTCACTGTGTAATAGGCCAGCTTGGAATTCAGAGATCCATCTGCCTCTGCCTCTGCCTCACAAATGCCGGGATCAAAGGTATACACCACCACTCCCAACCTTTATGGCTTTAAAAAAAAAGAAATTTTACATTTCCATTTGAGGGAGATGAAGAAGGTACATCACACACCATTCTTTAAAAGGTGTACTAGAGGGCCAATGAAATAAGACAGGGCAGACGAGGGAAGAACATGGGTTGGAGAAGGAGTAGTGCCAACTGAGAGGTCAGTTAAGTGCTGTTGACAAACCCCATGCTGGTGACCTTGGAGACAGCAGGCTGAGGCCAAGAGGAAGGAGAAACTGGGCCTTCAGACTTTCAAATATGTATTTGAGAAGCATAATATTTTCTCAAAAAAAAAAATCTTGATGCTTTGTTCTGTGCCCAATAATCCTAAGCTTAGTACCATAGAGGCACGTGTGTATCAGGCTACTAAAGCACTCCACAGATGTGGGACCAGCTTAGATGTCTGTGCACAGATCAGGGGACAAAGAAGTTGCAATACCTGTATACAGTGGGCGTGAAATCCCTTTCGCGGCCATAAATTGCTTTAGTTTATCCTTGTCCTAGGTGATTTCATTTATTTCTTCACTTTAAAGGTGAGTTTGCTGGACTTCACAGACTTGACTCTCATGACTTGAAATGCATCATTCCAACTGACCGGTGGTGGCAAGTGCTGTAATCCCAGCATGTGGGAGACTGAGACAGGAGGATGGCCAAAAACATGAGGCCAACTTGGGCTGTATAATGAGTTCAAGGCAAGCCTGCACCTGTGTCAGAACATCCATATACACACACACAACTGTGCATGTGCATTCCTGGCTCGCTGTATTTGTACTGCCAAAGCCCTGGAATCACACTCCAGAGTCCTGTGAGTTTGCTTGGTGGGTGGCTCCCATTACTTTTTGTCCTTTCAGGGGAAAACGTCTGGGGAACATGTATGCGTAACGCTAGAAATCCCGGTGTTAGCACACAGAGCCTTGCTTCCGGGCCGTTAGCAGAACCCCAAATCGTTACAACCAGTGAGGAAAGTAAACTTCTGTTCCCTTTGTCTCCCCAGGCATGTGTAACCCTCGGAATTACAGCGACACACCTCCCACCTCAAAGAGCACAGTGGAGGAGCTGCATGAGCCCATCCCCTCCCTGTTCAGGGCGCTCACGGAGGGGGACACCCAGCTGAACTGGAACATCGTCTCCTTCCCTGTGGCAGAGGAGCTCTCACACCATGAAAATTTAGTTTCCTTTTTAGAAACTGTGAACCAGCCACACCACCAAAATGTGTCTGTTCCCAGCAACAATGTTCATGCCCCTTATCCCAGCGACAAAGGTACCTATCCACCCTGTGGTCTGCCCTGCGGTCCGTGACACATACGTCAGGTTATCTTTTGGAGCATCTTTTAAGTTTGAATTTGTGTAGTCTTAAATGGTAAATGAGGAGACACATCAGCATGAAGGCTGTGTTGGAAAATGAGTAACTTCCTAGTTCTGCTTTTATTTGAATGAGATATTAACTGTTCTTTATTCCATGGCATCTGTGCTTGGTGTCAGGTGACTCTCGAGGTTCCTCATAAGTTAGGTGTTTGCAAATGATGCATTGGTGCTACAAATGATGCCAAGGTCATCAGCTAATTTATTTTTGTTTTGTTATTATGTGTGTATGTGCTTCTGAGTGTGAGCACACACACCGTCACACTTGTGGGTTCTGGGATGAAATCAGGTTGGGTTTATACAGGATGGGTTTTTCCTTCTTTCTGCCTGTCAGTTACAATTCTATGGACAAATTGGTATCATGGACATCTCATTTACAGATATAAACTGTCCCACCCCGTTCTCTGCGGGGATGTGATTGTGGATCACCATCTGAGAACCTTAGCAAAGAACATTTACTAGTGAGAATAGAACATATTATAATTGTGGAGTATAGAGAGCTTATAGCTATGACAAAGTCTTAATGTTTTCAGTTCAGTTTACAGCAGAAGAATAAGGCATTTGTGAAATACAATTGATATGGCTTTTGTTTTAGTTTTTTTATGCCAGGGTCTAAGATGTAGACCAGGGTGGCCTTGAACCTGTGGCAGTCCTCTCTGGGACTACAGCTGTGCATACCATGCCTGGCTTGCAGCTGAATCTTAAAGCATTAAATGAAGTGTGTGCAAACACTGTTATGTGAACTCTGTTTCTAACCAGTCTCTTTATTATGCCTTCCATTGTAATCTGATGAAGATAAAATGGGACTTTGCATGTTAACAATAAAAGCTAAATGGTTTTGTTAAATGACAGCATGAATTCTTACCTCCTTTCAGGTTAGATTGCTTTGTAAATCAAATGCTAGGCTTTGGGAAAGATTGGAAATGTAGAACTTGATGCTTTGCTATTTTCTCATATTGAAATATAATGACCATCATAAATATGTATTATTCATAAGTTCTGCTCAGTAATGTCTTAGATTCATGACAGTGGTAGACAGAAGTCAGCTTCTGGAAACCTTGGTGCCTCTTCCTCTTCCTTACCAGGAGACCCTCAATTTTACAGACCCTTGCAGTTTGGTTTGAACTGATAGGTTTACTTTTTACCTAGCTCTTTGGACTCTTTGGACTCTTGAGTCTGCAATGGCTAGCCCATGGGAGGAACTTAGTAAATATACACTGGATAAAGTATGAGATGAATTTAATAGGGCCTAGTCAGTCGGTGTTTGAGTGTCGCAAATGTCGCTCACTGTCAGTCCTTCTGCTCGACTGTTTAGGTGTCTCACCACTTCCCAGCTTTCTTCATTGCTAGTAAACAAGAATTGTTTATTATAATTGTGCATATATGATAAGGACACACATTGTGTGAGGCTCTGTGGGGTGGGCTCTAGGGATCAAACAAGGCTTGCATGGCAAGTACTTTACCCACTATTTTTTTCTTTGTTTCTTTCTTTGACACGGTTTAATGTGTGTTTGAATTCACTGTGTAGCCCAGGGTAGCCTTGAACTCATGATCCTTCCGCCCCAGCTCCCAAATATTGGGATAGCATGTATGTGCCACTGCTCCTGGGCCTTTGCTCTGTTCCCATGGATACTCCAAGGCTTTTGTCCTTCAAGGCCTAGAAGCTTTGCTTTTTATTCCCCTTAACACAAGTCCAGTGTTTTCTACTAGGCCTTCTCTCTATTCGTTAGAGGTCTTAAAAAGATAACTTAGTGCCAGCCAGACAAGGTGGCACATGCATGTGATCCCAGGAGCAGATGGCTACAGCAGGAGCAAGTGTCTTGAGCAGTCTTGACTGCATAAGCAAGAGACCCTGTCTCCAAAACAGCCACAGCCTGCTCTTCCTACCTCAGGGGAAACCAAAACCCTTAACCTCTGATCATCCACTCTCCCTTAATGCTCTGTGAATGGTTTTCATTGTCTTTGCTTTGTTTGTGTTCTGTTAGATCTCAGCTAAGAAGCCGCATGGGATTAACAATTTGTAGAGTAAAAAAACTCCATTCTGTGGGAGAGCAGAGTAGGCGATCTTGTTAGTGACATCTGCTTGCTAGTGTGTATTGATCACTTTGCGCTGTTTGGATTGCTTGCTTCAGTACAAATTCCCAGTACGACCTTAGGACAGTATTTTTCAATCTTGCCTGGACTAAAGAAGTATGTCTTCAGAGAAATGTCAGTTTAGGAAGCTGTCTTGTTGCTTCAAAGATGGTTGTTGGCCAGATAATCTAACCTTCATGTCTTTGCCTTCTGTGTCTGAAGAGCTGTCAACACAGTTAGCAAATGAAGGTCTTTTTCCCCTCATTCTCGTCATGTGCTGATCAGCAATAAGAACTAAGCGAACAGCTGCTAGTGTGATTTAACTGAGTGGCGGGATCTTCTCGCTTGTGCTGAAGTCTGCATTTTCTTCCTTTTCAGAGCACATGTGCACTGTGGTTTACTTTGATGACTGCATGTCCATACATCAGTGTAAAATATCCTGTGAGTCCATGGGAGCATCCAAATACCGCTGGTTTCATAACGCCTGCTGTGAGTGCATCGGTCCAGAGTGTATTGACTATGGCAGTAAGACTGTCAAGTGTATGAACTGCATGTTCTAAAGAAGGAGAAGGAATGCAAACCAAAGCAATTTAGTTACTAGGAGGACATGGAAATTACTCAGTAAGTCATGAAGTGTGCAGAAGTCATGAGTCAAGTATGCTAAGAACATGCTAAATTATGTTATTGTAACTGTACCTTTTCTGTTTGTTGCCTGGTAGTGTATGTCTTTTCCATGGGAACAGTAGAACTCTAGTCCTCTGAGAATCGGGTCCAGAGGAGTTGTGGAAGAGCTGTAGTTGTGACAGAAGGCCTGGTGCCTGTGGTTTTGAAAGTGGTAGAGAAGACGGGTACCAGGAGCTGCGGCTTTCTCCTGCCAGTCTCAAGTCCACCAGGTCTCTGTCCTTATGCCTCTCCTAACCGTGCCTTGGATTGCTTATCTGTTTTATATAAAGAGAGTAAACATTGCAGTATAGAATTCTAACAGCTCACATTCAAGCCACTGTAAAAGTTTAATTTCAAACCATCTTACATTGGTTTTAGAAAGTAAATATTTGCTATATTTTACAACAGAAAACTTTTCCCTAGGGCCAGTGAGCTGACTCTTGGTAAAAAGTGTTTGCTGCCATGCCTAATGACCTGAGCTTGATCCCTAGCCTGAGAGCCCGAACAGTGGAAGGAGAGAACCAGCTGACCTCCATACATGCACAGTGACACGCATGCATGTGCCCTTGTGTGTGCGCGCGAGCACACACACACACACACACACACACACACACAGAAAGTAAATGTTTAAAAGAACTTTAAACCTCTCATGTGGTGAGATCTGTCCTACGGCACTCATGCCAACAGTGACTTAGCCATGGTCTTGCTCCCGACCCACAGTGCTGATGGGTTTGATGTATAGGCAGTTGAATCCTCTCTGCCAAGAATTGCAGCACACCCTTGAAACTCCACTAAACGCACTGTGAGGATCTGGGTGCAGAAGCCAGGAAAAGAGCAGCCAGGCTGTATGTAGGTCATGTGATGCCACACCAGGCACCAGGAAGCAGCTGTCCTTTTCCAGCTGCACGAAAGAGGTGAGAGTGAGGTGCACCAGGAGAAGGGTCGGGCTCGGCACCAGCAAACCAGCCAGCTTCTCCAGCACACAGAACCGCAGGCTTGATACCAGCAAACCAGCCAGCTTCTCCAGCACATGAGGTTGCAGAGGGTTGAAGAGGAATTTACAGATGTGAACAGAGAAGGGCGAGATTGTTGGGAACTCTTATAAAACCATTTGTAGTCACTGTTTTTGTTACTTTGTAATGTCTGTATTTGTTTCTGGATATCTGAATCTAATATTCTTATTAAATAAGCATCATATTTTGGAAGCTGTATTTCTGAAAGTAGAAGGGGAAATCTGTTTAATATGTTTATTCCTAGCATATTACAGAATTATCTAATTAGCTTCTTATGTAGTGTTTCCCTAGAGACAAGCTGAAATACTACATACCTTTCATAGAAATAAAATCCTCACTTTCAAGCATGAATCTAAAACAAATATTTAAAATATACAGGCTTGTTTTAATGAAATTGCTATTTTTGCTAGTGCGGATCTGAATTAAAAGTAACTTTTTAGAAATACTCTTTGTATGTCTATATATTTTAGTACATAAAATAGAAAATGCTCTTAAACACATTTTGCATTCTTATTTGAATAGTAGTTAGATACAAGATTGTGATATTACGGCTACCCACTATAAAATCTGTTCTTTCCCATAGCTGAAGAATAGTCAAGGTCCTCAGCCTTCTAACATCACGGTGTCCTCTCTCACTCTCACAGCAGTGCCTCTGTTTCAGCCTTGGGAACATCTTAGCTCCTTTCGTAACTCCGACACCGCCCGGGGTTTTGAAGGACTGCAGCTTGCTGCTCCATTTCATCTTCCTAATTGTCAAGAAATTCATGCCTGTGAATGGGAATGCTTTGATGGTTGCAGGCAGTTTGCCTTCAAGTTTTCTTTTTTTGTTTGTTTGTTGTTTTTGTTTTGTTTTGAAACAGGGTCTCTATGCAGCCCTGGCTGGCCTGGAACTTGCTACACAGACCAGACTGACTATCCTCATATTTTTTAATGGTGGCCACAAGCATTGTTAACATATATCGTTACCTTTTTTTTAATCTTTTTGTTATCACATTTTAAAATGTCGTATGTCTTTTTTACCCCATACATTTCTCTGCGAACAGTTTCTTAAACCAATTGCTTTACTGTTTTTTATTGCCCTGTTTTTCCCATTAGAATTGATCCCACAGATAAGTTTTATGTTCCTATTTTGTGTATTTCTCCTGATTTGCCAAGGCCTTGAGGAAAAAGCAGCATTCGGCCGACAGGTTTTAGTTTTAGAGCCGGGGGGTCGTGCACACTCTTGTGGTCCCACACTTGAGAGGCTGAACAAGGGGACTTCAGGATCACAGGACACACAGCAAGACACTGTCTCAGAGCAGCAAAGAATGAAATTAAACATTTAAGAAGCTAATAGCCTCGCTAGTACCTTCTACACCATTGTAGCATGTTCACTTCCGTATTGAAAATTTGGTAATAGTTTGTTTCTTTTTATAGTTTCTATAGTTTGCCTTTATTATAGCCAGATCAGAAAACACTAGATTTTAAGGGCTGGGTTGAAGCCCAGTGATGGAACTCTTGCTTATCATGGGTGTAGCCCTGGGTTTCCTCCTGGGTACCAACAAGAAACAAAACACTAGGTTGTGAATCAGAGGGTATTATTAAATCCATACATACACACACTTTCCTGTAGCAAGACATGGGCTTATGGGCAGGTTTTTGTCTTGAGTTTCTCCCATAACATTTAATTATGACTGTAACTATTTGTAATTATGGTACAAAAGCAAAGTGGTGATTCAAGTAAAATGTGGTGTTTGTTTACACAGATGCTGTGAAAGGGGTCTTCACACCAAAGGAAAACTTTTTGGTTTTTCAAGACAGGGTTTCTCTGTATAGCCTTAACTGTCCTAGAACTCACTCTGTAGACCAGGCTGGCCTCAAACTCACAAAGATCCACCATCTCTCCCTTCCAAATACTGGAATTAAAGGCGTGTGCCACCACTGCCTGGCCAAAGTATAAGTTCTAAAGTTTCAGAAAATAGGATTGTCATTAGGATATTTGAACAAGTATTTGTAAATCAAAAAACCTTCAAAATAGAGAAACTAAAGCTTCTCTGGAAAACAAGGTTTCTGTTAGAACTGGGCACAGTTGGAAGGTTTGTACTTAGCGTCTTTCAAGACTTTAAATTCTTTTGTTCATTCCCAAGAGTCTGTTTCTTGCGTTTGGCATGATCTACAACATATGTAATAGTGTATATTCTCATTGGTTGTCTCTGTAATCAAAAAAGTATTTTAATAAAAAATAGAAATGAACCTGAATCGTGTTTTATGAACTTAAGCAGAGAAAGCTGAATGTGCCATTCTGTCTAGTGATGCTAACCTTCTTTGCCGAATGTGCCCTTCTCTCTAGTGATGTTAACCTTCTTTGTCAAAGGTCCCCAGAGTTGCTGGAACTAATGCTCCTGCACTCAGCCTCTGCGGGGTCCTGGCACCAGCTGCTTTACAAGAGTAATGTAGCATGTAGATCTGACGTCAGGCCGTGTGCCTCAGATGCCCCAGTTGAGCTGTGAATGTGGTAGATGTGATGTCGTACTGCAGTGTCTGAGACTGGACCAACCAGAGGGGACAGAGGAAAGAGGTGTAGGAAGTCACTTCCTAGCTGTCCCACAGCAATGCGCACAGGTCAGTGTGACTGTGTGACCTGGACAGAGGGGCAATGAGCTATGCTGTCACAGTGTCTCACTGTTTTGTTGCTGTACGACACCATGACCAAGGCAACTGAGAAAGCCCTTAAGCGAGGGCCTGCTCACAGTTGCGAGGTTAGTCCAGGCTTACCATGGTGGGGCTGTGGCTTCAGTAGGCAGGTGCTCTGGCGCAGTAGCTGAGGGTTGATCCGCAGGCAAGTGTAACAGGCTCCCAGAGCCTAGCACAACTGACGCCATGATAGAAAGACCACTCAGGCCTTGAAGCCCAGCCCATGGACAGCACCACCTGCCATAACAGAAGCAAAGGCGGAGTCAGCAGTTCCAGGATGTGGTTTGAGAAGTCCTTACGTCTACTAACCCTGCAGATCTGCTTCTATAGTTCCACTTCTTGTTAATTGAAACGTGCCAACCAGAATATGGGTTTTTGTGCATAAGAACCTAAGAACTGTAAAGCTCAGGGTTATATATTTTGGGCAAATTTCCTGTGTGGCTGCAGTCCAAAAACACTATTATCTGGCTTAAGAGTGTCCAAGTGGCAGCCTCTGCTAGCCTTACCCTACAACAGTGTAGGCAGCATGACGGAGACACCTGAGCGGCCTTGCAGAAACCTTAAAGCCCACCCCCAGTGACACGCCTCCTCCATCAAGACCATACCTCCTAATCCTTCCTAAACAGTCCCAACTGGGAACCAAATATTCAAATACAGGAGCCTATGGAGGCCATTCTCATTCAAACCATCACACATAGGAAAATAGTTGTGGACTAGGGTAAGATGTCATACAGATGAGAGAAGATGGGGCTAAGGATCTTGGATGGTAGAGGTTCAAGAAAAGACAGATTCGTTGGGAAAGTCACTGCAGTGGCGGACAGTCCTGCAGAGGATGGAACTGAGATGCAGAGCTGGAGGCCACACCCTAAGCCCAAAGCTCAGGCATCCAGGTGACAGCCAGGTGCACCTGCCCCATCCAGCAGCCTTTAAAAGTTACCTTTTTAAACCACGTGTGGTGATGCACACCTTCAATCCCAGCACTGTCGAGACAAGAGGATCTCTGCTCTCTGTGAGTTCAATGCCAGCATGGTCCATGATAGACAGGACAATGGGGAGAGACCCTTCTTCAAAAAATATATGCATTTTTAAATTGGTACATAGTTGTATCAATTGTGCCTATTTGTGGGACACAGCATGACCTTTCAGGACTTGTATACAGTGTGTAATGATCACGCACACATCTGTCATAGTGTTTCTTTGTGTTAGGAACTTTAAAAAAACAAACAACAACAACAACAAAAACAGACTGGAGAGATGACTCAGAGGTTAAGAGCACTGGCTGCTCTTCCAGAGGTCCTGAGTTCAATCCTTTTTTTTTAAATTTATTTATTTATTATGTATACAACATTCTGCCTCCTTGTATGCCTGCACTCCAGAAGAGGGTGCCAGATCTCATTACAGATGGTTGTGAGCCACCATGTGGTTGCTGGGAATTGAACTCAGGACCTCTGGAAAAGCAGGCAGTGCTTTTAACCACTGAGCCATCTCTCCAGCCCCCCTGAGTTAAATTCTAAACAACCATGGTGGCTCACAACCATCTATAATGGGATCTGGTGCCCTTTTCTGGTGTGTAGGTGCACATGTAGGCAGAATATTGTATACATAATAAATCTTTTTTAAAAACGTACTATTTTTATAAATTGTATTCTTTTTTATTTTATGTACATTGGTATTTTGCCTGCATATATGCCTATGTGAGGGTGTCAGATCTTGGAGTTACAGACAGTTATGAGCTGCCCTGTAGGTGCTGGGAATTGAACCCAGGTCCTCTGGAAGAACAGTCAATGCTCTTAACCACTGGGCCATCTCTTGAGCCCCTATAAATTGTATTAATTCTTGACGGCCTTAGTTGCCCTGCTGTACTATGAAGACCAGAAGTTAGCCCCACCCTCCTGCACCCTGCACACATTGCCACACCTCTCAGGCTTCTGACCCTCGTGTGGCCACTCTCCACTCTCCTACTTCCTGTGACAGGCAGGACTTGTCTTCTGAGCCCAGCTCACGTGACATAGTGTTCCCTTGCTCCCACGGAACTGCAGAATTCAACTCTTTATGTGGTTAAGTAGCACTGAGTATGTATACTCTTGTATCCATTCACCCATTGAGCTGTTTGGGGACCGGTCAGCCTGGTAAGGGAGATGTCCTTAGGAATTGTGGGTCTTCAACATTTCAATTTTTTTCTAAGCAATTAAAAAGTGAACTCAAGCTGGGCGGTGGTGGCAAGTGTCTTTAATCCCAGCACTCGGAGGCAGAGGCAGGTGGATTTCTGTGAGTTTGAGGCCAGCCTGGTCTACAGAGGAAGCTCCAGGGCAGCCAGGGTTATTACACAGAGAAACCCTACTTTGAAAAAAACAAAAATAAAAGGTAAATTCATTTTACCCAGTGTTAGTGAAAAAATATAGGAGGCCATTGTTTTAGCCTAAGTCTCTGCACCAACAAAGCGAAATAGTTTCTCATACCCCAACCCCCAGAATCAAACTTCAAGGAAGATGGTAGGTCCCTGACAGACCAGTTTTTCTTGGGAAAGCAGACTCCAGTCTACCTGAGCATAAGAAAGCCCATCTGTTTTTATCTTTCCTGAAAAATAATGCAACCAAGTTCGTGATCAGTCAGTTTTTTTCTTTTCTTTTTTAAATGCCATTTCCTTGTTTTTAGTCTACAAACCCCACTGTTCTGATTGGAATTCTTTCTGTTTTGTAGAGAACACGGGTAGATCCATGACTCAGGGTCTCACAGTATCATCTTTTGACTCATTAATTTTGGAGGAAGTCAGTCTTTATTGTCTAAGCTGGTCTTCGACTCCTGAGGTCCTGTGACCCTGAGTCACTGGCCCACAGGCAGGTGCCGCCCCTCTCCTAACCAGCAGTGAAGCTGATCCACAGCCCCGGGCTTCTGTTCTGAGGAGGAGACGTGTCAGTGTAGAAGCCCACAGAGAGCCTCCTCCTCCCTTGCCTGCACCGTGAGCTCCGGGAGTTCTCAGACTAGATCCCAGGAAAGTCAGGCCCCTATCTGCTGGCCAAGGAAACAAATTCCCTTACTAGATTTCAGGGAGTCGTTGAGGTTAGTCACAGTCAACGTGGAACTACCTCTGTGCCAGAATGGTTGTGTGACCAAAAATTTTTCTAAACATAAGCTTTTGCCTTGCCAGCATCTTGTCAGGTCCAACCTGCCAGCCAGCCAGTTCCACAGAGCCCAGAAAACACTGAAGTAACCAGCTACCCCAGGACGTGGCCAAACACCCCAACTCTCCGACACCCACAAGACAGGAGGATGTAGCCTTGAGAGACCCGACACCCCATTCCCACCCACTGGTGACCCCTAACCTTTCCCCATTTTTATAGTAAACAAAAAGGGTGGAGTGTTAGGTTTCCATCACTCAGCGCTTTGGCAAAATGTCCAACCACCCCAAACGTTGGCACGCCTGCGTTCCAGGGCCACGCATGCGCCATCAAGTGCTCAGACAGTTTACTTAGCCACTGGGGCCCTCAAGACCTCTGTGATGGACGTGCAGCATGGTCACGTGATCTGCACATGATGCAGCTACAGCTCCACGCTCCCTCTTCTGTCTCTCTTCTGAAGAGGTAATGATTGCCTCCTCTCTCCCCTTTTCTCCTCTCTCTTCGTCTCCCCCCACCTCCCTGTACCAACTTCCTCAGGCCTGCAAATGTGTCTTTCTCTTAATAAACGCTTAAAGTGGATTTCGTTGTGTGTTTTGTGATCCGTTCTCACTCATGCCCGGTAATTTCACCATGCCCACTCTTCACGACACTGACCCGGGGCTTGTAGGGAAGCATTCCCTTGAGGCATTGCCCTTTCTCAGGGAAGTCTCCGTCTGGAAATAGCAGCCCAGCCTAGTGAATCTCACGATGAGCGATGGAGTCTTCTAGCTGACACTGATTGGCAAGCATGGGCTCACAGTCACATTTTGTTTTAATGGAAACAATGAGATAGGACGTGTTGTAACCCTAGGTTTACCGGAGAACACATGTGCCCCTAGCTCGCTGTCTCACACCCTTCTACTTCAGTTCTGCTTCTGTTGTCCCTCGGGTTCTGCATACGTTATTCTCTCTACTGGGTCAGGTGGTGATTCCTTGGTCTGAGGTCCTCTTTGAATACAATTTGAAACAGCCACTCTGCGCCCTCCCCTTTCTGTTGACCCATTACCCTGCTTCAATTTTTTTCATACCAGAGATGCCCCCTAAAGGTAGTCTTGGTACTTGTTTATAATCTGTTCTTCTAGCTTGGGACCCAAGAGGGCAGGACCTCTGTATTTGGATGTGGTGCAAATGAGTCCCCACAGGTGTTTGTTTGGGAAGTTTGGTCCCCAATGTGGCAGGATTGGGAGGTGATGGGACTTGAAGAAGTGGAGTCCATGGGAGGTGATTAGGCCACAGACTTCTTCTTCTTGTCAGTGTGACAGAATGCCTGAGAAACACTTTAAAAGAGGGGAGGAATTATTTTGGCTGATGCTTCAAAGAACAATTCAGTCCACCAGGGCAGGGAGTGGCTGCAGGGAGGTGAGGTGAATGGTTTTATCCCTTCCAGTCAGGAAGCTAAAG